AGAACCTCAAAGGAGAAGGAAGAAATATGATGGTAGCTGCACTGTCTTCATGTTTGACTTCTACTGGCAAGAAAACCCGTTGTGGTAAGGCTTAGAATCAATTTTACATTTCTGAACAATTTTTTTTTCACATCTCAAACTTTAATTGTGTGACAGTAAATCAACAGACATTTCATATGTAGCCATAGTCAACACTAACACTGAATAAAGGACTGAAGTCAGTTTTTGTTTTTTCATTTTTTAAGGAAAATCTGTTTTGCTGTATTTAAGTATTTGAAAATGTTGCTAAAATAAGATACCGTAGTTGCTTTAAGATCTCGCAATAAATTACAATCAGTGGTTTAATGTTATGATGTCTAATCAGTCATTTATTATATTTTCTGAAGTGTTGATGCAGCTACAGAAGATGGCATTCTTGGGAGGCTGGTCAGTAATGACCACAACTGTCCAAACTGCAAGATGAAGAAGGTCATAGCAGTGGGCAAGCCACATCTTTGTCTCTTTGCTCTGAGGGACATTATTGCTGGAGAAGAGAGACCAAATGACTATGGAGAAGCAAATTGGCCTTGGAGGAAACAGGTTTGTCAAAATGTACTTGGTTAGCTGTCAATGTGAAAAGCAATTATTTAGTTGAAGAAAGGATAATGAATATGCATATTGGCTTAAATTTGAACATTAGAATGGTGCTGAATTTAGCTGCTTTTCACTAAATAAACCAATTACTGCTGGTTCAGCCTGTAATTGTTTTACAGTTGCCTAGTTCAAGATAACTGTGCAATCTACTACAAACACAGAGCCTGAAGATTCTGCATGCAAATAGAATTGATAGAGTGTAGCAGCTGCTTTGATATAGTGCTGAGGGATCAAAAGAATCCAGTTGTGCCTTTGATTATTGGTGATACCAGTTATGGTTGAGTCCCCTCACCAGGGGAGAACAAGAGGTAGGACTCAGGATGCAGACCCAGGAAAGGTGGTTTATTGGAGAAAAGCAAACAAAGTACTGAGTATATGTATAGTCCATTAACCAGAGTAGGGCAGTGATGACTGAGGAGACCAGGACGGGAAGGTGAGTAGACAGGAGGACTGTAGGGAACAGGAGAGTCAGAGGACCAGGACGATGAGGAACCAGGAAGACAAAAACGAGGACCCAGGAGGAACCCAGAAGAAGACCAGGAGGGACGAGGAGACCAGGAGCAACCCAGGAGGGATGCTTGAAACTGGAAGACGGGCAGATGAGAATCGCCGGAGGTGTAGAAAAAGGCATCAACAGCACAGGAACTGTCAGCGTTGAAACCAGGTGAACCTATAAACATACAGTATATACATACAAAACAACCACACAGAAACTGTCAGCATTGGCATCACGTATACATGATTAAAATACAGTAATGCTCTGGCAGCGACGGAATGTCTGCCAGGGGATTAAATAAGAAAGGGAAGTGATTAGTGGAATGAGCGCGTGCTGCGGCTGGGAGTCAATTATCAGGTGAGGCGTCTCAGCAGTGTCGCTGAGCACGCGGGATGAGAGAGAGGGGAGAAAAAGAGGGAAGTGAGGCAGGTCGCGGCAAACAGACCTGACAATACCACTGTCCATCTATTGAATAATGATGTTGAACTCAGTATCACAATTTGACCAGTCTCTCTCACACACAACAGTCAGGCATCTAGTTCTTGTCGGGACCACGATAGCTGCACCATATTTTACACATTAAAATATCATAATGTCTCTTTTCTCTCCATAAACTCTAAATTAAATTCAAGTATGATATAAGCTGTTGAACTTGAGCTTGATTTGATCTCTACCAGTTATACCAGAAGTTGGTTACAGGTAAATTCAGTCCTGCCCACTATCACATATGCCTGTTATCAAGTCTAAAGGTTACAGCAGTTTGTTCTGTCTTTCTCTCTCCACTTTCAACTCGGTCGGCTTCTGCCCTTCTGCCTCTTTCAGCAGTTTTTTCTCTCCTCCTCTCTCCTTCCTTTCCCCACTTTTTTGCTGCAGAGATGTTCTTGGAAGCCATCAGAAGATTGAAGAAGGAGAGGCAGGACATTGTGTGGTTCTGAGGAGTGTGAGGCAGGGTTTCATCCAGGCTGAGTTTGACTGGAGACATGGGTGGAAGGAGCACTACCTATGTGATGTCTTTAGTGCAGGAAGTTCTGTAGGGCTCAGGGGACACTTTGCCCCCTGTCCCACACAGATCACTTTGAGGGACTTTGCAAGCACCCCTCATAAAGTAACTACCCCAAAGCTACATATACAGTACATATGTGTGAGAGCAGTAATAGTGAGTCAGTATTTGCAGCCAGGTCCTTCTGGCTGGACCTTTCTTCTTGACTCCTGTCAATACATGTGATGGCCAAGTGGGACATTAACCCACATGTGGCTTCAACAGCCCTCAAGGTGCTAACGACTCCACAGAGGTCAAACACCTGGGACTTGGCACTGGTCAGTTAGAGCTGAAGAAGTGTCTCAGATCAGAGGTGAAATATCTTCAAAACCTTAAACAAGGCCAGCTGCCAACAAAGAGCACTTCCAGAAATAACCTTGACCTGGATGACTGACAAGCTCCACTTTCTCCATTGTGTTTGCCTGTGCTCCCCTATTTATTTAATAATAACAATCACAGGACAATCACCTTTATTTGGCCAAGCATGTTACACATGAGGAAACTGTTTCTGGTACAGAACCAAGGCAGCCATCTGGGGCGTCAACTCAACCGATGGCTCTAACCATCAGGGAAACTTGGGGGTTCAGTGTCTTGGCCAAGGACACTTTGACATGTGGACTGCAGGCACTGAGATTTGATTATTTTGACTTTTAGTTAAAATCTTGTCTTGCAGTAGTAGTAGAAGTAGCATTAACAAATAATTGTAGTAATTTTCAGTTGTGATAGAGGCAGTCGGACTGTTTGCATGTCTTATCTTTGAGGCAGACGCTTCCACTTTTCTAAAACGTTAGGGGGGCATCAGACCCAGAAAACTTATTATGAGAGGTCAGTGACAAGGTCTCTCTCCCAGTCCCAGTTATCATTGAACATGCACCATTCAAGGGCAAAGCACACCACCCCCTTCTCTGGACTGGATCTGTATGATTTTATTCTACTATTTCCATTAAGGCTTTCCAACAAAGCCGTTCTTTTGCAAGAAAATGAGCTTCATGTTGCATATTGTGCCTGCTCACAGTGGCGTCAAGGTCAAGTACTCGTGGCTTTGCCTGCCTTAGGTTGTCCCGAGGTTCTTTAGGGGGAACTTACACGTCATAGGCGAACCAGTCTTCCATACGTGCCTGTTTATTTAAGCCCAAGTTTTTTAATTTGTTTCTTAACCTCTCTATTCATGTCATGTCAAAACGTATCCTGTGTTCCTGCACACTATACAAAAACACAAGTCACAGTGTTCTTGCACACTGTGCCTCCTCACAGTGGCGTCAAGGTCAAGTACTCGTGGCTGTGCCTGCCTTAGGTTGTCCCGAGGTTCTGCAGGGGGATCTTACCCGTCATAGGCGAACCAGTCTTCCATACTTGACTCTTTCTAATGAGAGGTATTTGTTTTTGACTTATCAACTGAGACAAGACCAGTCCAGCTTTAAGGAGAATCTGAATGTGCCTGATGTGACTGGTGCAGAATAATTACTTATGGGACTGGGGATTTTTCCCTGTGGCCTCATTTACTTTGTTCAGGGTAAACATATCTTATAAAGAGGAATGTGCTTTGAATATTTGCAGCCGTGCTATGACACACGTTCGGTCATTTAGTTTCTTATAGGACCATATGTATGTACGTTGGGTTCAGTGTTTTGTTAAGCACACTAACACGTGGCTCATAGTATGAGCCCTGAACCACAGCCGCCCCCGAACAGTGTGAAACTGTACTGTGGATTCAGGCATCGACTGGCAAAGAGGAAAGAAGTGAAATGCCAAAATGTGACTGACATGCAGACTCTCCAGCAGGTTTGGGACTGGCTCTACTAAAGAGTGATGATGTACTTAGTTGTATTTTGTTTACATGTTTACTTTTTGTTCTGATGTGAGGATTTACTGCAGCTCCTGGTCTGTATGATTTATTATGAACATCAATCATGCTGTTTATTATATAACATATAATTATTAGACCAGTTAGAGCAACCTCTACTACCACTGGTATGTCATTTCTAACAGTACAACAACCAACTACTTTTTGGTAACAGCAGTGAAGTTCCCTCAGTGCCTCTCAGATTATTTTAGGTTTGGTTAGGCTATGTTAATATTAGGCTAACTTAAGGTAGGTCAGACTCATTTAGCTTAAGTTCATGTAAGTGGAGTCACATTAGATGAGGCTCGATTAGATTAGTCTGGGTTGGCACAGGTCAGGTTAGGAGACCGCACAGTGCTAACTGACTGTGTCTGTGCAGGTACTAAGGTCTTTCTGGATATTTGACTTGTCTTGACATCTGTCTGGTCGCATTTGCCCTCTCCCTTAGTATCTCTTTGTATTTGTTTTTCTTTCTTTTAAATGTACCTGTTTAGGTTAGCCTTGACTAAATTAGGTTGAACTGGAAGAGGCCAAGTGTGAATGGGTTAAGACCAGGCACAGTGTGTCTCCTCTCAGTCATCCGGGTCATGGTTTGTACAAAACTGCTGGACTTGCTTGATCAAGTGGTTGCCAGGCCGTTTCTAGGTGGTTGCTAAGATCTTTTTGGAAATTGTATTTTTTTATTTCCCTCCATTGTGTCCCTTTTTTTTTAGCTGCTCTCTTTTTTGTTTACAACACATGCACTTGATTGGGTTTCTTAAATATTATTTCTAGTCTCCTGATTTTTAATTTAGGGTGGGTATCTATATTGTGTTCTACCACTGTGTGAGTGACCTGCTGCAGTGAAAACCTCTCTGTTACCTGTTTGTTGTCTCTTGTCTGCCTCAGCCACTCCTCCAGCGGCGCCTTCTTGCGCTCTGTCCCGTCCTCATCCTTCCTCCTCTCCTGTCATTCTCTCTCCTTCCTCTCCCACTTCTCTCTTTTTTATCCTCCTTTTCCTGTTTTTGTTTCTCCTTTTTCTCACTCTTTTCCATGTTTTTCTCATTTTTTCCCTCCATTTTCAACTCAGCCTTCTTCTGTAATGCCTTTGGTCACCTCTCAGTTTTGAACTGTGCATCAGAAACAAAAATATACATGTTAATTTTAAGATAGGGATGCACCAATACCACTCTTTTAAGACCAAGTACCGATGTGTACACTTAACGATGCAGTGTTTCTGCTATAAAAATTACAATTACAATAAAAGTGTAATGACTTATGCTTTAAGTATTTACTGAAAATTTCAGAACCCTGTGTGTGTGTGTGACAGAGAGAGAGAGAGGAGGCTGTTTGGCTTGGCTGCAGCCAGACTGTACAGCATGGCAGGCAAACAAGACAAGCAAGCTGAACTCGTAACCACACAGGCTGAATACGCAGCAGCTGACTCTTCATGCCCTTTTGCTGAGTGGCTCTAAAACCTCCCAGAGCCTAAGCATGACCTGGCTTACCCTGTACTCTTTGCCCTCTCACTTGCATAATCTTTTTGCTCTTGTCAGTAAGGCACCAGCTTCATCAATCTGCTGTATCTCTTTATTCCACTATAGTTATACTGTATGACAATCATAGAATTAGATGAGCAATTCTGACAAATGGAAACATCTTCTGTATGCTAGGGTTGCTGCCATCTTCTAATGTTGTTTGGGACGTAAAGATTTCTTTAAAACACATGCAGCTTTTTCTCAGATTGATGCCATCCTCTGTACAGTGGGAATGCTTGTGTTGCTACCTGAGAAGCATCACTGCTAAGGAGGGTGGAAGAGCAGAGAGAAAGAGACCTGTATATCCCAGAAATGCATGCCATGTATTTCATAATCTATAGATAAAAAATTTAAACAAAATAGAAACACAGCTTTTTGTTGCTTTGGGGGGCTAGAAATGTCTGTTGGTGCTGTGTAATTGTTAACTGTTATGAACGCACACCCCGCGAGGTGGTGTGACAGAGAAAATGGACTCAAAGGGCTGACTTCACCATAAGCAGTGTTTATTTCATGCTGTACTAGGCAAGGAGTGCTATAACGTGACATAACAATAGAAACCAGAATGGGTGTAGATAGAGTAGATGTTGACCACAGAAAGGCAGGAAGAAGGTAGTTGCTGGGCGGAGCTGCGCAGCGTGGAGGTCACTCACTGGCTGGTCGAGTAGAGGTGGTTGAGGCTAAACAGAAGGGAACCAGACAGAAGGCGACGATGAGCAGAGAGGATCAGGGGAGAGAGAGCATCGACCTGGCTGGTGAATGATAGACCGATGGCAGGGGGTCCAGAGGTAAACAGTTCCGTGTGGGAGTATGTGTCCAAGCAGGAGGGCTGAAGGCAGGAACGGGCGAGGAGAAGGCTAGTTGGCAACGGAGGCAAACTGAAAACAGTCACAAGAGAGAAAAAAAACAAAAGAACAAGGCAAAATAGAAAACAGTCTTTGGATTAACCTGAGGTGGTTCTAGTTGTCTGTGTGGGTACGAGAACAAACTAGCAGTGGGCAGGTAAGAAGGCGCAGTAAATTTAGGAGATCTGGTGATTGCAGGAGTGACAATAGGTGGTGGTAATGAGGATAGCTGGCAGGTGTGTGGAGGAGAGAGGGCAGGTGAAACCGAGCAACCCTGACATTAACCTATCACACTGACAGAGGGAGGCTCTCCACTCAGCACCCACCAATCAAAATAAGTCTTAACCAGTTTTCAAAATATACATTTACTCAGGTTTTAAGATAACAAAAGCAATCCAGACATTCTTATTTGCTCCAAGACCAAAGCAACAACAAACTGATGTGCCTTAATATCACACTGACATTATAAAGAATTTCAGAACTGCTTTTTTCTGTTTCTCGTCTCATCTACCTTTATCAGTGTTAATGGACATAAGAAACTGTAGAGAATCTCCACATGCACATAAAGAGCCCTCATTTGTTATCTGTTAAAAAATATGTTTTCAACAGTAAAGCTGATGAAGATTTGAGGAAAACAATGAATGCACCCAACATACAAGTGAAAACCAATTTTTACATTTTATAAACCATTATCCTGTTTCAAATAATTGTCTAGGAATCTGCCTGATTTATTGCATACTTTGCAGCTGCTTCTCATTTTGTGGCTCTGGATCAGGAGGTAGAACAGGTTCTCACATGGATGATTGGAGGTCTGATGCCCAGCTTCTTCAGTCCACATGTTGAGGTGTCCTTGGGCAAGACACTGAACCCCCACATCTTATGGCTTCCAATATAATCTGTACAATAAAAATGTCTGAAAAACATAAAGGCATGGTAAACCTAATAGTGCTCAACACTGATTACTGTCAAACCTTTAAAAGTTCTTCAACATTATCTGAAATAAGATTTGAAAGTTTTGCTTCTAAAGCACATCCACCAAAACAAAAATTTCAAACAACAAACTTTGACTGCAGTGAAGGAAACGTGTAACCATGTCAGTCAGTTGTTCCATGCAGTGTGGTGATAGAAATACTGTTGAGTACTGTTCGCAATTTGAACTATTGGACATGCACTGAGAATAATACAGAGCTAAATTACACCTTGATCACACATAAATAACCTGGTGGGACGGAAGGTATTTTATTTCACAGGAGTGATTATGGTTAGATTAACTTGTGTGTAGAAGTTTCCTCAGATTTGACATTGCACTGTTTGATGTAGCCAGCATTGTCAACCCTGGTAAACAAGCTTTACACTGTACAGTAATGTTAGAGCCCTTTTCTGATTTAAGAAGGAAAATATTGTTTGGTTTTCAGCACTGACAGGTGTTCTTGTCCAGCAACATGGCCCACCCGCCTTGGTGTTGTCAGCTGGTTGCAGCCAGGCGTGACGACTCGGGTTGCTTAGTGCAACGTGTGTTGATTTGATTGGCAGACGAGAGTTGGTGCAAAGATAAACGTGATAATCAATCTAAAAAACAACACTTACACTTGTAGCCTATAGACACAGACAAAGACAGCTCCTTAATGGTGTCGCACTCCACTCAGATTTGTGTAATGAATTCCAGTTACACTGATTTTGTCATTTAGTTACATGTAGCTACTTTCTTCAAACTCATTCCATGTTTGGAGAAAATGTTTAATATTCATTAACTGATTTAGTTGATTGTACTAATACACAATTATAATATCATACAGTACTTTAAAGCAATTCACTATGCTGCTTCTCTGTTCCTTAGTATTATTGTCTCGAGCCAAGTGATGGAATAATCAAAAAAGCTCCAAAACTACTGCGTAGTTTTCGCCAGCACCTTGACTGTGTCACTTACCTGGAGACGTGTATCCATGGCGAGAGACTCCTCCTTCTCTCAGCATCATCAGACTGCAGTGTGGCTCTTAGCTACCTGCCTGGAGATACCATTGGTCTGTTCGGACAGGGAGAGAAGCCAGTCAGTTGAGTTTGTGGCAAGACTTTTTACTGTTTGCATATTGTTGTTTTTTTTAATTACATATGATAATTCATACTCAGAAAGTAGAACTGAAGGGACATTCATTGCAAAAAGATTAGTTAAAACGTTTCAAATTACAAGCTGCATTGTTTTGCATTTTGTGGCTTTCAGTCTTCACAACAAGCTGAATAAAAGACTTTATACAGTCATATTCTCATTGAATATTTCTTAACAATAGTGTTTAAATAGCATCTTGTTACATTCTTGTGAATCCAGTATCATGTATCGTCTCCTCTCGTGAGCTAAGTGTATCATCGCACCGCTAATATTTACACATACTACATGTAGAGATGCTTCTTGTGAGCCATCCTACCCTTGGTGGTGTTGTACTCAGATTGTTCCCAACACCTTTGTTGATCCATATTGTCTGGAAATATGCGAAAAGAAGGCATTTCTGCACACTGAAAATATGCTATGTAACAGAGTGGATAATATATTCTACTGATAAGCTTTTAACTGAAAAGAATATACTCAGATGCAACCCCTTTCTAACCACCCAGATTTTAAATATTAACTGTAAATTAAATTACATACTGTATTTTCTCAATAATTGTAGGGGAATAAAATGACTGTGTATTTTAAGTACCAATAATTATGTAGTGCTGCTCCAGGTAACTAGCTACTCCCCGACACTGGTATTTAACATCGAGCGGTGTTCCACAAGGCTTATTTCTTGGTTCTCTACTTCTCTTAGTGTTGCTCATATTTGTTAATTTGGCCCCATCTAATACTTTACAGCCAAAAGTAGATTTACTATTTACTATATTCTGGTGATTCTGAACAGCAACATGGCACAGTTCTCAGTCACTTTTTAATTATCAAAATTAGACAAAGTCTAACAAATATTTTTTCATAGAACATCAGGCCTTCCTACATTTATAGCAGGAGTAGCAAATATACAGGACACAGCAGTGATATCTATCTTCTCACTTAACTGAAACTAAGGTCATTTGTGTTTACTTAAAGCAACATGTAAGTTGGTAGTTTGTCTCCCCCCACAGTTGATGAGTATAATTGAGTTGTACCCAACTACTTGCACTTTACCCCCTCCTCTTGGACTAAATATGCATTTGTTTACAAGTTGAAGCTGTTACTGAACTGGGAAAGAAACATCAGAAACCAAAGTTTGTAAAGTAGTTTAACAGGATTTTATACAAATATGACTCCATAGTTTTATGGGGGAGGCGTTAGTGCGGTTGGTAGAGCAGTTGTCTCCAAAGGAGGAAAATATTGTTGAATTTTAATCATTGACAGGTGTTCTTGTCTGACAACATGACCACCCACCTTAGCAATGTCGGCTGGTTGTTGCCAGGCATGGCAGACTCAGATTTGATTGGAAAACAAGAGATGGTTCATAGTCAAATGAGTAAACCAATCAAAAATAATGCTCAAAATTTGAGTGCATACTGTTAAATGAATGAGGTCTATTTAGTTGGGGTGTGACGAGATCTTGTGCAATGAGATCTGTCTCACAGTATCAGTACTAAACCAGAGCAGCAGTCAATATGATGGAGTGAAACGGCAAAGTGATGGTATATTCACATTAACAGGCCTTCAGACTGATCTGACAAAAAAATGCAACTCCCTGCTGTGATTTAACGCGCAGTACTACGTTCTTCAGCAGGTGAGGGGTTGCAGTGGAATGTTTTAGGCGTGTACAATATGGCCACAGTATGACAAGCCGATGTGCGCGGCTTCATTCATGCTTCCAGTCCGTGAGTTTCCATTGTGTTTCAGTTAGCCATGATGCTAATGTAGCTACTCTACCTTATCACAAATTCTACCACTAATATGTCTGCACTGATAGATTAAAAAAACACCATCTAACAGCCAGTACTAATGGAAATGCATATCATGTCATTGTTGTGCCTTTTTTGTGGCACAAATTCGACAGTGAATAGCAGTGTATGCTCATGCTAACAAGGTAAACAAAAGAATCTTCTTCTTCCCCATATGTGATTGATCACACACAGCTTCAGTTAGAAGTTAGAAGCTCATGCATAATTCATGCACAGTTATAAGGTCTGAAGAGACATGTGAAATCGTGCAGGAGAGAAGCCAGTCAGTTGAGTTTGTGGCAAGACTTTTTACTGTTTGCATATTGTTGTTTTTTTTAATTACATATGATAATTCATACTCAGAAAGTAGAACTGAAGGGACATTCATTGCAAAAAGATTAGTTAAAACGTTTCAAATTACAAGCTGCATTGTTTTGCATTTTGTGGCTTTCAGTCTTCACAACAAGCTGAATAAAAGACTTTATACAGTCATATTCTCATTGAATATTTCTTAACAATAGTGTTTAAATAGCATCTTGTTACATTCTTGTGAATCCAGTATCATGTATCGTCTCCTCTCGTGAGCTAAGTGTATCATCGCACCGCTAATATTTACACATACTACATGTAGAGATGCTTCTTGTGAGCCATCCTACCCTTGGTGGTGTTGTACTCAGATTGTTCCCAACACCTTTGTTGATCCATATTGTCTGGAAATATGCGAAAAGAAGGCATTTCTGCACACTGAAAATATGCTATGTAACAGAGTGGATAATATATTCTACTGATAAGCTTTTAACTGAAAAGAATATACTCAGATGCAACCCCTTTCTAACCACCCAGATTTTAAATATTAACTGTAAATTAAATTACATACTGTATTTTCTCAATAATTGTAGGGGAATAAAATGACTGTGTATTTTAAGTACCAATAATTATGTAGTGCTGCTCCAGGTAACTAGCTACTCCCCGACACTGGTATTTAACATCGAGCGGTGTTCCACAAGGCTTATTTCTTGGTTCTCTACTTCTCTTAGTGTTGCTCATATTTGTTAATTTGGCCCCATCTAATACTTTACAGCCAAAAGTAGATTTACTATTTACTATATTCTGGTGATTCTGAACAGCAACATGGCACAGTTCTCAGTCACTTTTTAATTATCAAAATTAGACAAAGTCTAACAAATATTTTTTCATAGAACATCAGGCCTTCCTACATTTATAGCAGGAGTAGCAAATATACAGGACACAGCAGTGATATCTATCTTCTCACTTAACTGAAACTAAGGTCATTTGTGTTTACTTAAAGCAACATGTAAGTTGGTAGTTTGTCTCCCCCCACAGTTGATGAGTATAATTGAGTTGTACCCAACTACTTGCACTTTACCCCCTCCTCTTGGACTAAATATGCATTTGTTTACAAGTTGAAGCTGTTACTGAACTGGGAAAGAAACATCAGAAACCAAAGTTTGTAAAGTAGTTTAACAGGATTTTATACAAATATGACTCCATCGTTTTATGGGGGAGGCGTTAGTGCGGTTGGTAGAGCAGTTGTCTCCAAACCGGAAGGTTGAAGGTTTGAATCTTGGTGCCTGCAGTCCACGTGTCGAAGTGTCCTTGGGCAAGACACTGAACCCCCCCCCACCCCCACCCCGTTACCTAGAGCCATTGGTTGAGTTGGCGCCGCAGATGGCTGCTATCGGTTCTGTACCGGAAACAAATTCCTTGTGTGTAACATACTTGGCCAATAAAGGTTATTATTATCCTTATCCTTATTTGTGAACAGAAAAAAAAAAATCGTTTCCTAAGTGTCTGAAAGTGGATGTGTGTAATGAGGTGTTGTTGGTGACATAGTACAGGCTCATATTGCACAAATTAACTTCAAAGTTTTATTTAATGTGGCACTGACAAAGACTGACCAAACCTTCTGGTGTGAGATGAATTTGTTTATTTGGGGGAACTGAGGTCCCTGCTATAAAAACCAGCATAGCTAGTGACCAGCTATGCTATATTAGCTTGTGTTGTGTT